CTTGCCGCCATCCCCCCCCAGGCAGGCAAGGGCAGGGCCGGCGTGAAGCAGCTGAGGCGGCAGCTGGAAGAGGCCGAGGAGGAGTCGCAGCGCATCCCGGCCAGCCGCGGGAAGCTGCAGCGGGAACTGGACGAGGCCTCGGAGAGCAACGAGGCCCTGGGGCGGGAGATGGTGGCCCTGAAGAGCAAGCTCAGGTGAGGGCCCCTTTGCGCCCCCAGCCCCTCGCTTGCTTTCGACAGGCGGGGCCCCCCGTTCCGCCCCTTGGAGAGGCCTTTGCCACTCCAACCCAACCGAAAAGGAATCGCAAAAAGCCACAGGAGCAGCGGGGGCGGGGGGGGGCTGGCGGTATCCCTCAGGAGGGTGCTGGGGAGACCCGCCTGGCAGCGAGTTGGTCAGTCAGTACTGAGCAGGACCCGAGCATAGGCTGGCAGCTTTCTCCTCTGGGGCCTCTTCCCTCCGACCTGGGCAGCCCTGAGCCTGGGGAGCCCTCTACCGCCACGCAACCGCAGCCACATTGAGCGCTTGCCACGGGTGCAGACATAGTGGTAGGCTAACGTCGTGGGACGCTTCTCTCTTTCAGAGGGAACCCAGAGCCTCCGCAGTGACTGAGCAGGTACCATGCCTTCAGTGTTGCAGCCTGCTTGTGATTGCGAAAACGCAGCGTCCCTTTAGGTCCCAGAGAGACCCATGTGAGACTCCTGCAAACTGTGAAGGCTGGGGGTCTCGAGGGCTTGCTTTGAGAGACAAATATTACAGATTTTGCTTCATGACTCTTCACGCTCCTTTCCTCTCGATCCTATGCTCCTGCACATTTATATTCTAGTCGCTCACGAAATAATTCTGCTTCTGCAACGCACCCCTCCTGCCCCGCCTCTTCCAACCACGCTGTGGCGCGGGCCAAGAGTGGGTTCAAAGGGCTCTGGACCTCACACGAGGAGGTCCAGCTTCAAGGAGTCAGCTCGTTAGCGCGGATCTCAAAGCAGCGGCTGCCTTGTCCCTCTGGCCCACGGAGGAGCCTTGAGGAAAAACCCGGCTGCTTTCATGGCCAACGGAGCAGGGCTGAGGCCCAAAGCGTTTCCTCCCATTGCTTTTGAAGCATGACCAGCCCTAATACTTGAGGCAGCTGCCCCACAGCGCTGCCAGGTATGCCACCATCATGGGCACGCAGTGCCCTATTGCTGCTTTGTGATGCAAAAGCACGCCTAGGAACCGGCTCCCTTTGGGGAGAAATGCACCGGCTTAGAACCTGCGCATGGCGGGTAGCTGGGCGGGGGTGCTGCTGTGCTGAAAATGCGCTCTCTCTCTCTCTCTCTCTCTCTGCACATCACAAAGTGCTGAACTAGCCCTGCAAGCCACCTCCCGCTGCGACCATGGCTGTTCTCCCATATTGACCTGGGAATTCATGCCTCACCCACAGCTGGTGAAATAACTCTCTGGATTGGTTGAGTGACTTGCGTTCTGTAATATTTGTAGATTCTCCTTTGCAGGGATTCCCCTCCACCGCCACTCAGCTTTGCTGCTGCCATCCAGGGTGTGTGTGTGCGTGCGCGTGTGCAAAGCCCAAAGCCTGCAGCTGCATTTTGCACACCTTTTCAGCTGGCCTTTTCGGTTTCTGCGCAGGACCGGGGCGGCTAGAATTCTGCTCACATTGTTCTATTCCATGCATTACATTTGATCTCTGATGCGAGGAAAACATTTGGCCCTTTCTTAGTTTAGGAAAAAAAGGCTAAGTACAGCTTGGTGGGAGAATGTAGGGAGAGAAGGGCCAGAGAGAGCTGCAGCTGGTTGAACGAAAGTCGTCCACCTGGCAATGGGCTGCGAACTCCTGGGACTCTCTGCCGCGAGATTCGGTGATGGCGTAGAGGGCGGAAAGGTTAGACTGGCCGGGGGAGAAAGGTCCACGTCTGCAGGCAGCTCTTGGGCAGAGCATCGGCGTCGGCGACTCCGAGCCCCCTTTTCCTCAGACATCCCTGGAAGTACCTTTCCCCTCTGCGCGGAGAAGGCAGAGGCTGGCACCTTCTCCTCACCCAGAGGGATTTTGGACGCAGGCCTCAGCAGCACGCCTGGACTAACACACAGGCATCTCCCCTCCTCAGAAGGATTATCCACCCTTTTTCCCACCTGCAGGCGCGGGAATGAGCCGGCGTCCTTCGCCCCACCGCGCCGGTCGGGCGGCGGCGGCGGCGGCAGGCGGGGGATTGAAAACGCCGCCGAAGGCTCCGAGGAGGAAGGAGACACCCGGGACGGAAATTTCAACGGAACCAAGTCCAGCGACTAGCCAAGCCCCACGCGCGCTCACCCGACTGCTGCACGAGAAAACGAAAAAAGGAAAAAAAGGGGGGGTACTTGTAGCACTCTAGGCTGCTTTGTCCGTCCCAAAGCCACGTTTGCCCTGAGCACAGCCACCTTTTACTCCAGTGTAGGCACAGACACCCTTAGCTGCCGAGGTGTATCTTAGTCCAGAGCGACTGCCTTTCAGAGGGAGACGCCCATGGGACCTGGGCCACCCCCTGGAAGCGCTCCATGTCCCGGGAGAGGAAACCTTGCCCAGAGCTCTTTCGCGCCCCCGTTACTTCCCAGAGTTAGAGACTTTCCCCCCGAAGAAGGCACCACCCCGACCTCCGGAGTTTGCCAAAATCCAGGGGCCGTCCCGAGTCACTGCTTTGGAGGGCGGGGGGGGGGACAAAATGATAACTCGACTTACTACTTCCGATGACCTTTGTGCTTAACATACACACACATTAATAAAGGTTGTTAAAATTGATCGGAGGAACACGAGCATGATGTGTGCAGCGAAGTGCGCCGGAGTACATACGCACAACTCTCAAGTGTTTCTCTCGTCACGCAGAGGACTAGAAACCTACTGCATTTTGAAACCTAGGTAGAGGCAGCCTGCTTTCATGGCAAGATTCAGGGGTATTTCCTTGCTGCCAAATTTCTGCTTCGGTTCTACTGAACGTTGAGCCAAGGAAAAAAGTAAAGACCGGAAATGGAGGTACAGCAGTTTTGGGTGACAAACCAGTTTAATAACTCAGCAGGGCCCATGTCCCCTGCCCGGTGCATGAAAGGGCACCTCACCCCCGAAACCCTGGCCCCCTCCCCTTCCCCAAACAAAGTTCCAAGTTGAAATAGGACCCTCGACACAAATAATGCCCCTGGGATTACGCAGACGTTTTATAAGCCTGCCTTCCTAAAGGCATCTCAGGTTATTAAAATGCACCAGTTTAAATGGGGAAATGGATAGGATCAAGGCACCAGAGCCAGGGCGTGGGGGCCCTTTTATGGCAGACTTCCATTTCTCCAGATGTGGTGGACTACAGTGTCCATCACCCCAAGGCCATGTTGGCTGAGGATGAGGGGAGTTGCTGTCCCGAACTTCTTGAGCATGCCAGCCTGTGCTTTGTTTATTTAGCGAAGTTATATGGCCACAGCTCTCAGCAGCTGACGCAAAGTCTGGCTAAACCCTCGCATTGCTCTGCTAACACCCAAACCGCTTCTGCCAGAGAAGCCGCCCCCACCCTGTGGAAGCGTTTCCAGGGGTTAAACTGGCACTTGGGAGAAGGCGGCGCAAACGCTCCTCCCAGCCGACCACGAGAGCAGCTGGAGCTTGAGAGACCCCAAACTCCGTGCTCGCCATGGGGAGCCAGGAATGCCGGGGTCCCTGCCTCTGACGAAGCATCCCCACGGCAGGGCTTTTCCGGAAGGCCGCCCGCCCCTCTTCAGGAGCAAGGGCCTCGGCGGGGAGGCCCGGCAGGAGACGGGCGCAGGTGGAAGGCACCGGGGCAGGAGATGCTCTCCTCTCCCTGCAAAGGGCCTCCCGGCTGCGGGAGGACAGGCTCGGCCCACTAGGGAAACCCGTGCCCGGCTCCCCTGCGAGGTTCTTGATGTGGCCCTTCCGCCACTGGCTGGGTCGGGCAGCAGCCGCAGCCCACAGGCTGGATCCCACCTGAAGCTGGCGCAGGATTCTGGGCCTTCTCCTGGCCTGCCTTGGGTCTGGGTCTGGGGCCGGGGAGAGGGGCTCCAATGCCGAGGGGGTCTGCAGCTGTTGGCTTCGCTTCAGCATCGCTCCAGGTCTTTGGGGAAGCTTCCAAGCGAGTCTGTGCCCGGCGCTGCACTGAGAGGCAAAGGGGAGCCCGGAGGGACCCGAGGCAGCCTCGCTCTTCCTCTGCACACAGCCAGCTTTCCTCGCTCCTCTCCCCTCTGCCGCAGGTGAACGGCCAAGACGGCCTCGGGATCCCGATACCAGCTGCCAGAGAAACGGGCTGGCCCAACGTCCCTCAGAAAAGCATCTGGGCTACCCTCGGTGCGGGAAGGCCCGCTGGCCCGGCAAGGTTGGATGGCTGCCTCCCTAGGTCCAGCTGTTTGGCCAGCCTGCGAATCAGAAGGGGGTCATCAGCCTAGGAACGTCCGAGGGATGAACGCTTCGACGGGGGGCAGAGACAAGCGAGAGACCGCCAGGGTCCCACCAGGCAAAGGAGAAGGGGGTCTCCTTCACTGCCTGCGTAAAAAGGGCCAGTCCCTGGCGAGGAACTGGAGGGCGGTTTCTCTCTTGCGGCTCCCGGGCTTCATCCTTCAGCCCCATCTGCCGTCCTTTCCCCATTTCGCATTAGGCCAACCTGGCTCCCTCCGGATGGGCGGGCAGGGCCAGTGCCAGTTTCCAGCCAGCTGGGAATCTGGAGGGCCCCAGGTTGCCGAGGGCGGTGTCCATGTGCTCTTTCCCCTCCCCGTTCTCCTCGCAGCAGTGCTGTGGGGATGCCTCCTTGCCCAACTCTGGGGCTTCCCCCAAGCCCTGAAGATGCCAGCCAGACTGACCTTGGGGCCCAATCCAGCAGGGCTCTTCTCCGGTGGGAATAAGCAGCCAGGGGTGATGCATTTGAGCAAAGGGGCAAAGGCTTTAAATAAAAAGAACGCGGGAGGCTTTTACTCAACCTGGACAAAAGCCGTGGGGTGACGCGGGTGGGTCCGCTAACCTTGTGAGCGAAAACGTTCCACGGACGCGCCAACCCGGCTTCACAGGAGGTTGGTCCTTTTCTCCTGGCCCCAGGAGCGAGCAAGCAAACAGCCCTTCGCTCCGGTCATCACTGGGGCATGTTCCGCGCTCAACAAGGCCAGCCTCTCCGATGGCACCAGGAATGCCCATGCTTTCGTGAACTGGCAGATCCCCCTTGGGGCTCGCAAGGTGTGGTTTGGGGATTCTAGCCCCTCCAGAGGACCCCGAGTTGGGGAAGGCCCACGGAGCCTCCTTGGAATCCTTTCTGGGGACGGAGGCATAACGCCACATCTCACTGCTCACCGCCTTTAAAGCAACATTGGCCGGGAGGGACTACCTGGACCAACACCGAGGTTTCTGCAGTTCTCCCCTCTCCGGGGACAAGGGGTTCCTGTAGACTCACCCCTGGGAAATGTGGGGGCCGCTCAGCCGCCTCTCGAACGCATCCCTGCCCCAACAGGGAGGTGGGGGCGCGGGGCTTCGGTACGGAGCCTGGTCATACACAAAGTTTCGGCAGGAGGCCAGCTTAGACTCCAGCGCCTACGAGCAAAGACAGAGGCTAACTCAGCAGGCAGCTGCAGGGGAAATCAAGCACTGGCCCCACCGCTGGATTGGCGCTGAAAGTTCAATCCCAGCCCTCCGGCCTTTCCCTCCTTGTGCTGCCGCTCCTTCCACCTAAGAGCCCCATCCTGACGACTCACCCCAACTTTCCGAAGGAGGTCTCCCACTATGTTCAGCGCCGATATCCGTGCCGCTGGTGTAAGCGGGGTTGCACTGCAGCCCTCCTCAAAACCTTTTTTAAAAAAAGATGCGTTACTTACAAAGCAGACACTGTGTGTACTACGTAAGGAGAAGAAAGCGTGTTTAGCTCTCTTTCTAAATTTGCAGGAATTAGTCCTCAAGACTGCAGGGCAGGGCACGAAGGTGCCAGAAGCTCTCTGGGTGAACCTTCTGGTTTTTGCATTTGAAAGCCAATTCTGAGGCCAGAAGAAATCTCAGGGCATGTCTTAAAGCATCTTAAGAGCTTCCTGAACTGACTTGGTAACAGGGCTTTGGCTTTTTCTATCCTGACTCAGTTCCAGGCCATTAGTGATTTCAGCCACCTTCAGGCACACCCAGGCGTGATGCACAGCCACTTCTTCACCTTCCTCACCAGGGGGCGCTGTTGCTTCACAGACCTCTACTGGGTGAGTGCTCTGGCTGAAAGCATGGGGGGGGGGCGGGCGTGAAATGACCCTTTCACCTCTTCTGAAGGCTCCTGGGGTACTAAATCCAACGCTCGGCCCTCGGGGGACCGCGGGGGTCGATGGTCCAGAGAAGGCGGCTTGCACAGCCATGTCCGTCCGGCCACCTCCCGGAGAGCCCTCTGCTGCAGCCTTCGGCTTCTCCTGCTTCTGCTGCACGGCCAGCTCTTGGCGCAAATCTAGGAGGGCGAAGCAGCTCAACGGTGAGATGACCCTGCCCGTCCTGCCCCCTCTGGGCCTGGGCTCGGCCCAGCTAAAAGGTAGGCACCCTCAAAGTGCCCCAAAGGGAGCAGTGCCCAGCAGACTTGGGAGGAAGAGGAAAAGGTCTCTCCATCAGCCTGGTTCCAACCTGCCCTTCTGGCCACTCGCGTTAACAGGGCCTTGACTCCTCTTCCCTCCCCATCATTTCCCCTTTAGTGTCGTGCCTTTTGCCCTGCGACCCTAGAGCATCATTTAAACGAACCAAGGGCTTTTGGCCACAGAGGAGGATAGAAAAGCGCCAGACCGCTTTGTGAAGAGCCGCTCACCTCTGGCTTCGTCCTTCAGCCGCTGCACCGACTCCAAGAGGTTCTCTTTCTCGTCCAGCTCACTCTCGAGGAAGGCGTTCCGCTCGATGGCCTGGTTCAGCCGCTGCTCAAAGTCCTCCAGGGACATGATGGTGGCTCTACAAGAAGCCCAGGCAGGGCTTGAGCCAGGAACGGAGCCGGGGGAGCCCCGCACGGAGGAAGCTGAGCCCCGCAGCCCCAGGGGACCCACAGGGGGGCTCTAGGCCCTTCTGAGCCCCCAGAAGCAGCCAACCCAGACCGGAAGGCTACCACCCCGGCCCCACGCGCCCAGCCCACCCGCTGGCACCTCTTGGCTCGTTCCAGGTCGTCGTTGCACTGCTCCAGCTCTCGGATGTACTTCTGCAGCCGATCCCGGGCGGCTCTTGCCTGGGCCAGCTCCTCCTCCAAGGCCGAGACCTGCCGGTGCCCTTCGGCATGTTGGCTCATGATCTTCTCCTAACCCAAACAAGCCGACAGCACAACACGACTTGCACAGTTCTGTCGTGTACACTGGGTGCCCTGGGCCAGAGGGCCTTTGCTTACGCCAACCCTTGGGTGTCCTGCCATGCCTTGCCTTTCTGCCCCCCCAGCTGGGCTCATACAGCTAAAATCCCTGTGCCAGGTCCTAACTGAGCTGGCAGGAGACCTTAAGGCCCAATCGGGCCCTCCGAGAGGGTGGGAAACGCCGAGCCTCCCTCTGGGGTTTCTTGGACATCCCTGGGTGCCACCAGCCAGGCTGACCTGGCACAGCCACAGGAGTGGGGAGAGGACGCATGCTCACTGGCCCTTGCCTCCAGCCCGGATTTGGGCTCTGAATGTAAATGCTCCCCTTGAGAGGTGGACCCCTGACCTTGGCTGGGCTCTCTCTCTGCCGCCCGCCCAGCGCTCCCCGCCAGCACAGCCACCTGGCAGCTGGTGCAGCATCAATGGGCTTCTGTCCCAGCACCGCTGTGGGGGGTGCACGGATGAATGAGCCGATTGTCAGAAGGTGGCTCTCCTCGTCAGAGAGCTTCTTCATCAGCTACGGACTGTGGGATCGAGGCGTTAAAAAACAGGGCCCAACGTGCTTTAGGGTCAGATCCTGAGGCTCCCAGGGCTCTGCTCCCCCTTCCTTTCCCCTTCTCTTGCCCATTGGCCGAGCCTCGCCTCGCCTGGCCTGCTCCCCTTTCTTCCACCAGCCCCAGATGCGGCTGATTTCTCCCTGGCAAAGCTCAGCCAACATCCTGAGATGGACAGAGTCCACTCCAACTAGATGGGCATTTAGAAGCGATCGGGACTCCAGCCTAGAGAAAGGCGGCCAGGCCGGAGACCCTTCCAGTACCAACGCTGCCTCCGTTTGCAAACTCCTGTCCAGGGGACTGCATGGTGTACAACAATTGGATAAAAACAACGCATGTATAAAAATCAGTATTAAAAAGTAAATATTATTAGAAACAAACCATACAGAACCCAGGCAAAGAGAGAGTGAATACATCCACCTTAATAGCGGAGCCATCTGAACATGTCTCTGGTCCCTGGGACCCCCAGCCCTGGCGCCATAACCAGGTCTTGAGGGACTTCCAGAACGTCAAGAGGGATGGAGTTAACCTGATTTTGTGGGGGGGGGGGAGAATGTTGGATAAAGCGGGCACCACAGCAGAGAATGCCCATCACCTGGGACCCACCAAATGTACCTCCCTGGCAGTTGGTACCCGCAGCAGGCCTTCTCTGCCAGACCTGATGGGACAGGTAGATGCAACTGGGGGGAGGTGGTCCCTCAAATAACCTGGCCCCATGGCATGAAGGGCTTTAAAGGTCAAAACCAGCACCTTGAATTGGACCCAGAAGCAAACTGGCAGCCAGTGCAGCTCACGGAGCAGAGGTGTGATGTGTGCTGTTCTAGGGGCACACATAACTGCCCGCGCTGCTGCATTCAGTACCAGTTGAAGCTTCCGGATACCCTTCAAGGGCAGTGCCACGTAGAGCGCATTACAGTAGTCCAATCTGAAGGTGACTAGGGCATAAATGACGATGAGCAGAGCCTGCCAATCCAAACATACTACCAATCCTACAAACATCCTTTCACGCTACCCGACTGAAAACTAAAACACAGACAACAAGCCACGCGTGCAAATTTGACCTCTGCCTTGCCCAGGCCAAAGAATGTTTTAGAATGGGCACCCTTGCCAGGCAGCCCTGCAGCCACTCTTCCACCTGCCCGCGCGCTTAGCTACTCTCCCCCTCTGAATGCTCCGCTCCCGCCCTTCCTCTGTCCGATCTCAACTCAGGACCGCAAAAAGATGCCCCCAAATGACCAGGACGGCCCCTGCAGGACTGAAGCGTTGCCTGCACCTCAGATCGGCTCCAGCTGCAAACACACAGCCGCCATCCAGGGCCTCCCACACCCCCAGCCCGCCTCGCTGGCCGCCCTCCTCGGCTGCCACGGGGCTCTGGCGTCCTCGTGGGCAGGAGGCCCCCCGACCCGCTTCCTCACCTTGACCGACTCCACTTCCATTTGCAGCCGGCTGTTCTCCGACAGCAGATCCCGGTTTCGGGATTCCAGCTGTTGCAGCTGCATCTCCAGCTCAGCTTCGTACTCCCGGCTCCCTTCCTGGAACTCGCGCAGCTCCTCCTGGGCGTTCTCCGCGCTGGAGGGCAAAGCAGTGCAGGACCCGGGTCGTTCCAGTCTCACGGCTGGCCCCGTCAGGAAGGGGCGCGCAGCCAAGGAACTGGGCAGGTTGCTATGCGAAGGAGAAGGCTGTGCTGGGGAGAAAATGGGGCCACAGCCCCCCCTGCAAACCGTGGCTCAGGGTTCAACTTTCAGATCCCTTATTATAAGAGGGGAGGGAGGAAAAGACGAGATTCCTGGGGAGAAAGAGATCCTTTTTTCTCTGTTCTAGGCATAGAGACAGTTCTAGTGCCTTTAGGCTTTATTACCTCAGCCATCAGCCCAAACAAGGATCATTGCAACATACAAGCTCTTCAATTTTTAAACTACCAGATCATGCCAATGACTAAAATAAAAGCTAAGTTGCTCTGCTTTGAAGATATTGTTTACTGGGTTAGCAGAACCTTCCTAAGCTTTTATTAACAGTCTAAAACCACACATATCGGGCTCAGTCGGACGGGATTCTGGGAAAATGCACACAAGCCGAACGACACCCTGAAACAAAACATTAAATAGGATCAAAAGCTCAAAAACATTCCTGCTCTATACATTTTAAACGCTTCTTTGAAATGGTGGAACGAGGGCACAGTATGACACTCAATTCCCGTCTTCCTTCCCCTCAAAATTTAGCGTTTGCTGTTTTTAAGAGACGGAGGACAGCCCTCCTACATCTTATGACCCCAGAAGGTCGTGTCTCTTTTCGCTCAAACTGACGTGCTGTGCGCCCCCCGGTCTGCCTCTGGACTTTGTCACGCCATGCCAGGGCTGTTCCAGAAGTGTGCCCGGTTTCCAGAGGCACCTCTGGCGGGCCAGGAGGGGGAGGCGGAGGGTTCGAGGGCATTCTGTGGCCGAATCAATGGCTTTCGTGCGTCCCCACCCTCTCAGCTACCTCTTCACCGGGCACCACTTCTGGGAAAAAGCTCCCTTGCCCCTGCGCTGGCATTCTGGCCTCCCACACCCGCCGAACGCTCGGAAATGCCGCTGCTCGGGAACCAAGAGAAGTCGCAGAGGGAACTTTACCACTGCTTATATTTGGCCGAGAGCTCTTTCCAGTAGATCTTTTCTTCTTCTGCTGAGTCGAACGGTCTTCTTTCAGGGTTGTTCATTGTAGAAGCCGCCGGGCATTATTCTTCTGTCAGTGAGGGAGAGGAGAGAATACTGTTGAGAGCAGGCCTGTTGCTAAGCCCGTCACGTATTTCACAGAACCAAGTTTCAGATTTAAATAAGCCACCCAGGACAATCTGCTTCCCAGCTCTGCAGCTGAAAGTTCTAGACGCCAAAGCAGCACGTGGAACTTTGCACACACTCCGGAGACCTGCTTTCCTCCTGGGGTAGGGAGGAAGAGGCCAAGAACAAGCTCTTTTGGTGTAGCAGCTGGACAAAAGGGAGGAATCCTGCCCTTCCCAGAGGATGAAAGAAGCCGCAGACCTCTCGCCATCTCCAAGGGACACCCAACATCACAAGGCCTACAAACGTGCACCCATTTCTTTAAAAGGGTAGGCAGCAACTTGCAAACTCCAACCCCAACCAACACCTGGACACCCCGAAGCTCTGAAGATGCCAGGCAGGAACAGCCTCATAATTCTGTGAATTAGCAGCAGACGGAATTTCTAGCCCGGCACTTTTTGGTGGGGCTGCCCTGAAAGACGTGCACAAATTACACTGAATTGGACTTTTCCCTCGCGTTGTTTCTTGCCACTGAAAAAAGATCTTATTAGTTTCTGAATTGTTGCCTTAAAAAAGATCTTATTAGTTTCTGAATTGTTTTAAGTAAAGGTTTGGTTTTTAAAGAAAATAAAGGCACTTAATAGAAAGCAAATCGTAGTGGGACTTTGAAAAAAAGAAAGCATTTGGGACTGGGTGTTGGCCTGAGAAGAGAGCTCTTAGTCTTGCTAAATTAGGAGGTGCCTTTAATAAATCTGCGGCTGCTACTTCATCTTCTCTGGGTTCCGAGCTGCTGTGGCGAAAGGGAGGGGGCAGAAGGCCCACCTGCTCCAGGGCAGCAACTACGCCACAGAAAGAGCCTGCGAGAGAGAGCTGAGCTGGGCGCAACCCCGGCCGGGCTGGAAGCCGAACAGACCAAGCCAGGCGAGGCCAGAGGGCGCAGATGGCATCTGCCCTGAGAGGCCAGTCAATCGCCGGGGCTGTTTTGCCAGCCAAGCCGTTATGCCCGGAGGCTCAGAGGGCACCCTGGAGCTGGACCGTTGCTCCCTCCTGGGCACCCAGGCTAGGCTGGAAGGAAGAACCACCAGGACGGTTGAGGTTTCAACAGCTCTCTCTCCGCCTTTCTTCCACCAAGGGGGAATCCTGGGGGGTCTCCTTCAGGCCATGCTAAACTCCGAGCTGGGGCTGCATCCTCTGCAGGCTGGGATGAGGCATGCGCTGTTCCTTCCATCAAATGTTCACCGTGTGGATTTTAAAACGTAGAATAACTTAACAGTTTCTTTGGATTTATTTTTACATTGTGCATGGATGAATTTAAAGATAAGCCATTTGCAACTTGCACCTCTGCAGATTTTGCTCCAAAATATTATTCAGAAGTAAAACAGAATGTTTTACTTACTGCAGCCCTTTCTCTGCTACTTTTAACGGCAGGAGAGGAGCTGCCGGGGGCGGGGATGGTCCCAAGGGCTGCCTTTCCCACCAAACAGGAGGATGGGTGGCCTGTGCGGCTCTGAGGGGGATATCCAGGGGTTTCTGCCCAAGGCCTCCGGCAGGATTGGCCCTTCGTGTCCGAAACTGTCCCTAGAAACAGTAAGATGCCCCAGGAGCCAGAACAGCTTGGCTCTGGGTCTGGAGCCAAGGGGGGGCACCCCCCTCTTTCGTCTCCCTCCCCAACGGCTACCAGCCATTTGCCGCGAGGGCCCCCAGCGGAAGGGGCCGATGCCACCAGCGGAAGAGCTTCGGCCAACTGCTTCACACTGGCCCACGGAAGTTAAGTTGCAAAGAGCTCCCAAAGAGGATGGAGGGATCTGCTGGATCCAGACAGGGGTCCGTGGTGCCCCCAGCAGAGCCCCCTTTTCTGCGGCTGGAGTCAGATCCCTTCCCCACCGCGCTCACGACACAGTTATTACTCCGGAGTTACCAGTCAGGGGTAGAGGGCAAAGGGGAGCTCCCCTGCGGGGAAGGGCAGCGCAGGAGAGGTGGAAGACCCTTTCTGGCCCCCCAAACCCACCCTGGGAGCAACGGGAACGCCGGCCGGGAGACCCTCCTCATCGCAGGCGAGGGGCGGCTGGCTCGCTCGGGTCTAGCCGCCTCCTGCCTCGAAGCTCCCACCGACCCACCCACCCAGCCACCCCCGTTTCTCTTCTCTCTAAGGAAAACCACCAGCGCCCACTCACCCTTCCCGCAGCCAGGAGGAGCC